TTGTATCTGCTATGTACATGAATATATACATAGATTTGTATTTTTTTTTTAAACTGATAACAGATATGGCCATGCCAATGTGTGTGTGTTTTTAAACGGAGAGAATGAGAGCAAGAAGATGAAAGCCCCAAAAGACAAAGGATTAAAGTTAAATGATCAGAGTGATCTGTTGCCATTGTGTGTTTTATCACACCCTGATCTCGTAAATTTCCTGATGATAAGTGAGAGGAGCTGAGCCAGACATTCACTAGAATGCAGAGATTAGAAATAATTGTGAGGCAGAGAGTAGAAATAGACGAGGGGAGCTTCTGAAAGAGTAATAAAATTTGGAAGGCGACATGAGGGAATACATATCCAATCTTAAAGTCTTCATTACTCACTGTTCATTACTCTCTCTTAAGTGAAAATAGGTCTAACGAATTGCCAGAGGGCAACTACTGCACTTGACCAAAACGATGAAATCACAATGACCAAACTGTTGATGGAAGATCCTTTTAACGAGGGAACACATAAGCGTTTATGCCATAAACCCAAATATTCAAGTCTTCCTCAGACTTTCTGATCTGTGCTGATGTTGCCAAATACTTATTCAGTCGTTATGCAACAACAGCTTGTAGAGAAATATGGCCAAAGCTAACACTGGTGGAAACATTCTGGAGCTTCTTTTGTCTTCATAATTGGCTCAGCTACAGAATGGGCCAGTCTGTCTGCTGAGCTGCTCATCCGGATCTGCATCCGGAGCTTGTTGTTTGTTTCAAAGTCATATGGTCAAGATCCATTTCAAAGAATTTAATTTGCTCAATTGGCACAGAGTTTAAAAGTCTTCTGTTTCTGCCTTACTAATCCAATTTGTTAAAAATATAAATAAAAGTTTAGAATTCAGCAGTTATGTTTGGTTTCATTCCCACAAAAAGATAAAAATCCTGTGAAAACTGATTATAGCGAGCGGCGGCTATGTCCGAGCCTCGGTGGGAAGAGTGGGGCTGAAACCTGCTGCTCATACGGTCAAATCTGCCCTGCTGTAACGCTGTCCTTGTCTGTCTGTCCTTGTTTGACTGCTAACAAGTTATAGACCAGCTGTCACTTCCTGTCGGGTTCTGGATGACAGACAGGCCTGAACAGATGAATTTAACAAAGTGCTCTGCAGTGTGGCTGACTGCGTCTAGTGACATTGTAATATAATTAAGAACAATTTGTGCATGAAAATCCCTGAGTGTGCATGTGTCGTGTGCACTTGAATGCAATTTATATGCTGTGCGCTGATTGGCCACAACAATAAAACTACTGACAGGTGCGGTAAATGGCACTGAACAGCTCATTGCAACACAGTGTTTTTCTGGGAAACCTTGGGTCCTGTCATTAATGTGAATGTTACTGAGAACCAGTTTGAGCAACACAACAAAGTGCTCAAGGTGCCCACCAGTTTCCCCAAATCCTAATTACATCAAGCATCTGTCGGATGTACCAGAACAAGGGCAATCCACAAAGGCCCCATCCCACAATCCACAGGACCTAAAGAATCCACTGCCACTGTCCTGGTGCTTGACACCACTTTTCACCACCAGAGGCCCATCGCCCAACAGGCTCAGAGCCACTTTAGCAACATGAAGGGGACACAAAACTAGGCAAGAGGTTTCAATAAAACCAGCCACACAAACACAAGACTGGATTTATGACCAAATAACTATTAAATATACACCAGCATAGTTCCGAGCTTCCTAAGACGATAAGAAAATCTTTCTAATCTTTAGTTTTCTCATTTGTAAAAACATGTTTTTGTCTCGGGGCTGCAGTTGGTTAGCGCTGTTGCCTCGCAGCAAGAAGGTCGCTGGTTTGCGTCCCGGTGAAGACACCAGGGATCTTTCTGCGTGGAGTCTCCATGTTCTCCCTGGGTTCTCTCCGGGTTCTCCAGCTTCCTCCCACAAGGTCCAAAAACATGTTGAGGTTAATTGGTGATTCTGGATTGTCCGTAGATGTGAATGTGAGTGTGCTTGGTTGTTTGTCTCTAAGTGTAGCCCTGTGATAGACTGGTGACCTGTCCAGGTGACGACCCTAATGAGGATTAAGCAGTGTATAGACGATGGATGTTTTTGTCTCATTGTGATTCTTTGAAGTACACTGCATGGGACAGAGACCACTCAAATGGCCAAAAGTGACAATCTTGACATGACATGACAAACTAAAATAGAATCAGCGCTTGTGTTTGAGGTTGACCAGGTGTTGTTTATATCCCCTATGTGGATGCAAGTTGTAAAAAAAATACTTTAAAAAGACCAGCTCTGTTGTAGCGTGACCTGATGCCATATCTGCTCAGAACATTAATAACACACCAAAATCCCCAGAATAAAAAAGGCGACATTAGGATGAGTATGCTAAATTGAACAATAATGAACTGCCACAGATGGGATTTCTTGTGCACAAGTAAGCACTGACCCAAAGACAAAATACATTAAAGCCCCCCCACCTAAAGACATTAAGGAGGCAGAATGAATGAACTGTCACATGAATACATTTACTTTTATGTAAAAGAAATAAATGATCCATAATTAATTGAAAGTGAACCTTGGCTGGCCGGCGGGATAGTTCTGGCAAAGCACACTAAGCACATACACATTTTAATTATCCAATTATAATGCAAACTTTACAATACTAATGTAAAATTAGCAATTAAAATGCAGAACTGATGCCTGGTGTTGAAAAATTACAGCATCTTTTTTTATTATTAAAAAAAACAAACAAGCGAAAATGGTTCTTCTGTGGATATAAATGAGAACAAAACTGCTGATTTCAAGTGATACATTTTCCAGCAGTTCCTGGGAATTAATTTCTTACAAGTGGTATTTTGATAAAATTAGGACATCAGAAAATGTCCTGAGGCTCTTGCTGAGCTTGGCGACCCATCCCCAAGCGCATCTGACAATCTGTACATTGAGCCGGTGTGTGATTTCTTCTGCGGCGGGTGTGTAGATGTGTAAACTGCACAAGGTAGATCAGTATCACAGCTGATGATACCCTGTGGCACATAAATGTTTGTCAAGTGGACAGTGTACTCTCTAAGGTGCTGCTGCTGTTTAATATGTGGTGCACTCCTCCTCGGTGTACAGTAGATGTGCAGATAACTGTGTATCTGCTTAGTGCCTTCCTGTGTTACCACATAAAAATAGCCACATGAAATTCATAAATGTGCATGCGTTAATAATTAATTATATACTTGAAACACTGTAAAACTGTCTAATTAATTTCCAGAGGAGATTGCAGAGGCTCCCGCTCAGCCACCGGCCGCAGATGCCGTCATCAGATTGTAAAACAACCTGACGTGCGGTCGCGTTTTCCACGACACAAAACAGCCCATTCGCCCCAAAATGTAAATTACTTGCCTTTAAAACAAAAATATTTGAAGAATAAATCTAACTTGTCATTAATAAGTCACATTTCTCCGTCCCAGAGGAGATGAAGTGGGAGTCAACCCTTAGGTGACCACAAATGAAGGCATAAGGGGCTGAAGTAGATGGATTGTGGCAGATGACACCCGTGACAAAGTACACTGTGAAGTGTAAATCTGTGTTTGTTGTCTTTATGATTGGTGACACTGTGGCTGTTTGTCAGCGGCTGCCATTACTGGCTGTCTCCACTCGGTGCTGTTGTGTGAGGCTGCTGCCACAGCCAGCAGCTACAGCTTCACTCAAAGTTAATAGTAATCTGCACTCACTGGGACAAACCACAACAACAACTCTGTGTGTGTGTCTGTGTGTGTGTGTGTGTGTGTGTGTGTGTGTCGTGCCTCTCTGTCTGCCTTTCACTATGTATATGTGTCTGTGGAAGTGTGCCATGAGTGAGAAAAACAGCAGCTGAAAACTGGAGGTTTCCTTTGATGTATGTGTGAAATTAACACTCGCTGTGCATTTATTTATGGCCTCAAAACTGGCAGTGATCAAGATTGTGCTGAGCTCTACGGGATAAAAGCACATCATAAACACACTGTGTGTGTTTTAGCCCTGATTATAAAGTAGGGCTGCTTCCCTGTGGAATAAATATGTGTGCACAATGGTTGGCTTAATAATATTCCCGCGCAGTTCAGCGCTAAGGGCATCTTGTGCACTATGCCACATGTGTCAGATGTAGTCAGGATTTGTTTTCTTAGCAAGACACTCGAAATAAACAAGTGTTTTTAATGCAAACTGAGGAATGTTTTGTCAGCAAACAAAACAACCCAAAGTTGAGACATCTGACACACTGTCATAACAGGCAGTAAATTGGTGTAATTATTGCCTAGCATCTACAGTACCACAATGACAGTCATAATGACATGGTTGTGTTTGCACGCTTTGTGTAATTGCACATCATTACGTAAACCACATTTTACTACCGTTGGTGGGGAACGTGACTGAGAGGTGGCCCAGAAATGACCTCTTTCATTTGCAAAACTTACAAAACCAATGACAAACTGGCTCACACACTTGACTGTTAGCAGCAAACCACACAAAAACCTGTCCTGGCCGCCACTTTCCCCGGCCTCCACTCCATCCAACATGATATCACAACTGGCAACCCCAAGTTGATCCCAACACAGTCATTACGGAGTTGCTCAATGAAAGTGTCACGGCCTCTTTTTCCCTCCTCTCTCCCACAATTTTTCTATCTAAAACATCCTTCCCACCCCTCCTCCCTCCTCTCTTTTATCTATCGCATTTTCTGCCACACAAAGACCTTTCAGAAAAGCAGAGAATCCCATCAGTCGGTAACACAGCGTGGCCGGTGGCCGCACAGGAAGCTTTTGATTCCAGCTGGAATGTCCTGAGTTTTGGAAAACTGTCAAACTCAGTGGACACAATGTTGCTGTTAAAGCTTAAAATCAATCCAGCACGCAAGGCCGCTGCTGAAAACTTCATTATGTTTATGTAGCGCCAGTGTGTTTGAGCCTGATGCTGGGTCAGTGGTTGAGTTTAAATACAGCCTAAAAACTATCACGCAAAAACAACAATTGATGTAACTGTACTCACTGAGTTAAGGTCCAGGCTGGTCTGCACCCAGTCCTTGGCTTCAGTGTATTCTTCCATCAGTCCCATAATGTACAGCGTGTCCAGTGAGTCGATGATGGACGCTCCTCTCAGGCCACCTGCAACATGCATTGAGACAAAGACAAACAAGTTAGGACAAACATCTCAAAATATGGGTTTTGTTTATTTTTTGTTGTTGGTGGGGGGTTTTGTTGTTGTTGTTTTTTAAAAAAATTGCATTCTCAGTTGCATTTTAGGGGAAATTGATTTGCGTTTGCGACGTACACATTTCTAATCAACATATCTTTGCCATTTGCTTTCCAACTGTTGCTCATTTTCAGCCAACCTATAATATATGAGATGGAGTGGGCGGGACTTGTCACCATAGCAACCCATAACAATGCATACACTTCAAACTTCCATCCATCCATTATCTATACACCGCTTAATCCTCACTAGGGTCATGGGGGGCTGGAGTCTATCCAAGCTGACTCAGGGTGAAGGCAGGTTCACCTGGACAGGTCACCAGTCTATCACAGGGCTACACTTAGAGACAGACAACCAAGCACACTCACATTCACACCTACGGACAATTTAGAATCACCAATTAACTTCAACATGTTTTTGGACTGTGTGGAAGGAAGCCGGAGAACCCGGAGAGAACCCACGCGGAGAACATGCAAACTCCACGCAGACAGATTCCGGGTGTCCTCACCGGGACGCAAACCGGCAACCTTCTTGCTGTGAGGCAACAGTGCTAACCAACTGCACCACCCTGCAGCCCCACTTCAAACTTGAATGGGTGTATTTTACATTGCTAGCTAATGCATGATTTTCCATCATGAAGTAACGTTGGTTCCCCTAAATCACTAATGCTGAGTCTGTAGCTATTTGAAAAAGTTTCTTGCTACATCACACTGTTACTGTACCGGAAAAAATAAGTTTCTTTCAAATATAGATAAAATAAAACACTAAGTTTATGTTACACAAGAGTTATTAACCACTGATATCTCTCCTGTTCCAGCTACAACCTTTGACCAGGCAAACAGAACTACATTATGCAATCGAAAGATGACTTTGGAATCTTTGTAGAACAGATCGAAGGACGGATTCAAGTTACTCCTATAATGTACTGTACATGTTGACATGAATACTCTGACTGCATGTTGTGAGGTAGAGTGCATGACACTGATGCAAAACTATTTCAATCACTAATCCCTGAGGTGGTGAATAAATCCACCCAGATGATGTTTCCTTTGTGCATGTTTTTAAAGGAGAGTTTTTAATAGGATTTATAAAAAGAAAAGAAAATAATAAGTAACGCGAATAACAGACAAACGACTCCTTTCTTGGCTGTTACATAAGTTGCCTTCTGAGAAGCGAGATAAGTACTGAGATTTAACCCCCAAAAAACCTTTAATGTCGTGATTAGCAACTTGACAGCGTGTGTGATAAAAAGTAAAACATTAAAGTCCCTCACACGCTGAGCTTCTGCAATTACTGCGTTGATGTTGAATGATAATACAAAAAACTGCTTTGCGTGGCCCACATGAAAAGCATCTTCTCTCTGAGATTAAAAGCATCCTCAAAAAAAAAAAAATTAAAAGCATCAGTCGCTGTAACATGAAAGTCAAGTCATTTAGGAATCGACCACCAGAGGGGGAAAAAAAAAATGGAACTGATACACTGATTATTGCAAACATTTAGCAGCTGCTCCTGGATTACACCGAGTCCACGAGTTTCCTTCGTTAAATCTCTGTGCAAATGTCACAAAGTGTAAAAATCCGTCTGCGGTTATTGTGTACGTTTGAGTCCCTGTCTTTGTGAATCTCATTTAAAGCTATTCATTTCTTTTCACCAACTAAATGAGAAATGCTAAGGGGGTGTTTATTCCATCCTGGTGGCCTTGTGAAAGATTGCATGGCCTATTTTCATTCTCATACGGCGAAATATTATGCAAATGCAGCCGAACCTCTCAGAGACAGCTTGGCACAAAGGAAAAATAAACATTATCCTTAATGAATTACTGTAAAAGAGTTCAAGGGCAAATTACGGTTCGGAGGTTTAATAACAAGGAACTGTGACTAAATAGACTGTGAATCGAGCGGCTCGGGGGGCTCGCATCGTAGATTACTGGGGGAGAAAGAAAAAAAAAATGCAATAGTGTGGAAGCTGACCTGGTTAAATGTGAGAGGTGATGAAAAACCTTTATGTTCACCTCTGAGAACAACTTAGCCTACAGTCGATGCCTTGGATTGATCTGATGCAACCGTTCAGCAACCTGGCACATCAAAGACGTCGATTTTTTTTGTCAAGAATTATTTTTAAAGTTCACCGAATATGCAAATCGTATCCATACCTTTGGGCGACAAAACACAAATTTAAACAAGTCTCATGCAGCTCCTGCTCCCTACTGTCCTAATTACTTATATATTGTTTTGTTTTTTTAACGCTGCTATACTGTATCATCATTAGTTTTAGTCTTTATTATGGATCGCATCACAATGTGCACGTGAGAGCGGTTGTTCTAAATGATGATTAAAGAATTATGATGTAATCTCCCTCTGCTCTATGGAGCATTTCAGCAACATTTAACTTCCCGTTACAGCCCGATAACTTCAGCCTCACTGCTTTTATAGGCAGTTAGGTTTGAAGCAAAACTATGAAAACTAAAACGTGATTGTACATCCTATAACCAGCAGACAGATGGGGGGCTTGGTTAACACATTTGCACAAAAAGACTCAAAAGATAAATGCCAATAGTGTTGCTCTATATCGGCTGGATATGTAAATAGACAACTACCGGCTGACAGCATTACACAACATTAGCTTGCTTTAGAAGTCCCAGGTGGCAGTCAGAAGTCGATTAATACAGATATTTTCAAAATTGCTAGTGACAAGTTCCCAGAGCTCAGGTCGGCTTCTTCAAACAGCCTATTTTTTTTCAACTGACAGTCCCGATCCTGGATGTATTAATATTAAAATGAAATATACTTAAAAAGAAAAAAATGCTCATTTTCGAGAGGCAGGAAACAGCAAGTGTTTGACGTTTGTGGCTCAGGTGGTAGAGCGGGTTGTCCTCCAATCGCAAGGTTGGCGGTTCGATTCCCCGCCCCTCCACAGTTGAAGTGTCCTCGGGCAAAACACTGAACCCGAAGTTGCTCCCAGTGGCAGTATGTGTGTGTGAATGGTTGAATGAGAATGAGTGCAGACCATTTACATCAATAAATGAATAATCAATCAGTGTATTGGCATCTGTGTTTGGCAAAATGTGCATCTTTGTGTAATGAAACTATATACATTAGAAAATGCTGAACTAGCATTTTTTTTTTTGTCTTTTGACTGATCAGTTCATTTTTTCTACTAAAACATCACTTTTATAATCAGACTGCGCAGCGATGGACAGATGAAGGGCATCTTGTCTAATGTGATCTAAACAACTTAGAACAGACATCAGACTCTGTTACTGTCAACAGGGTTTTTTTTTTTTTTTTTAGGCCAGTTTCAATCAACAACTCTGCTCTTTTCATCCTCTTAAGGTTTTTTCATTCCTGTCAGTGTTCGCCCTGTGAGTCATGTCGTATTTGTAGCTGCACTTAACATTATTACCATGAGAGCAAAATGCTTCACTTCACCACTGACCTTTCACCTCGTCTCCCCGTAGCTATATGGATTAGTCGATGAGGTCGGCCGGGATGCCAAAGGGCACGGGGGGCAGGGATCAATGACTTGGCTCGACTGAATGATGGGTGTCACACGCTACATCCAGAAATATTTCTTGTAAAGGAGGCAGACAGATATGATGTGAAGCTCTCCGTGTCATAAAAAGTTACCCTGCACTGCGACTGCTTTTGTTCTAGCACTCCACACCAAAGCATGTTGCCCTCACAAGGTTGCTGTGCCACGGCGGTAGCTATGCTGTACCACACATCCCCAGTCTTTGAACACTTGTCTGCTCGTGTTGTCAGTAACGGGGCAGCGCTAGCCTCAAGCAAGACTCGTGTAGTCTCCATAACTCTGGAGGACCATCTGTCGAGGCTGTTAACCACGGCCTAGTGCGTGTGTAGTGTCAGATGTTAGTGTGCCATATCAGAAATACTTCCGGCTTCTGCTAATGTTACAGAAGCAGGAAATCAAGCGTACTTAGTTTGCTTATTGAGCAGCCGTGTCTGCATTCGACGACAAATAGCGATGGTGACGACTGAGGGGACGGGTGTAATCTAATGCCCCCTGGTTATCCAAACCCAGAAGTAGCTCTCTGTGGCTGCAGGCGAAACAGCAGAGTGGAAAATTCCTATTGAAAACAGCACCAAAGCTAAGATGATTGATTGACTCTGAGGATAGACGGAGCAGATCAATCCATCATGGTGTACTCCTTCGGCTTCCATGGTCTAAGACCCTATTTATTTCTGTAGCCCTTTGCCGGCGATGAAAGGAGCCCTGAGGGACTGGGGCAAAAGGTGTGTTCTATTGCTTATTTATAAAGATTGATAAACATGCTCAAGCTGACATTCATGCCAACAGGGTCTCAATTTACATTCTCATGCATTCTAATATCCTGTACGGTGCGTTCAGCGTCATATTTAATGCCTGGTAAAGCCCAAAAATAAACAGTGAAGACAATCTGTATTTACAGGCTGTGGACGCATCCGATACGCCAATTATCCAATAAAAATAATTGAATACAAACAGAAGGACCCATGCTTTGAAGCAACAGCTTCAAATACCTACTGTTTACTGGGCATCAGCCCATAAATAATGGCAAACCATCCACACAGTAATGCTGGATAACTAACTGGCCAAGCTGGCAACAGCCCCAAACTCAGAGGAGCCCCATTAATTCCATGTCAATTTGTTTAGGAAACATACTTCGCTGCAAAAATTTGTTGGGAAATTCCCACTATTAAAGTACTATGTCAGCTAAGGTAGGCTCTGAATAATTAGCTAATTTTATTGCCTTTTTTTTTTTTTAAAGGATCCTGTGCATAAAATCTTATTTTAAGAACATGATTTTAATTTATATTGTTCTCACACAACACATATTACAAATAAAGTTATATTTAATTAAGTTCCCATAGTTTAAGACAAATTTAATTATGTTTCAGCACTGAACTACTCT